AAATAAACCAAATATACTTAATCATGATATTTGACCACGTGCATTGCACGTGCATAAAACCTAGTAAGATAAAATACAATAATAGAGAAACAACTTCCAACTAAAGTAACAAATCCTTGTCAATATGTAGTATTCATGGGTTAAGTGAATAATGACCATATAATGCATAATAGTTTGTAAAATTAATGACAAATTTTCGTTTTAGACCTCTTTAGAAAATATTCGTCAATTTCGACCCAGTTTCAGCCAGTCGGTTGAGACTGAGTCGAAATTGGCGAAAAAAGTTCAAAAGCTTTACGGGATTTAATATCCCGTGAAATTTAAGCCACTTATTAACAAAGTCGTTAAGAGGGCCAAATATTCACAGGATTTGAAATCCCGTGAAGCTTAAACTTCGTGAGATTTCAAATCTCGTGAAGTTGCAGGGCAACCTCCACAGAATCCGGCCCTCCTCTTTCAATGCTCAATCTCTCCCTCCCTCTTCTTCGTCTTCTTCTTCCTCCTCCAAAATTCAAATAAAAATAAAAAAATTAAAAAAATAATGGGATCTCTCCCCTCTCCAACCCCAGCCCAAATCGACCCAGGCGAGCTCTCCCTACTCTTCAAATCGCAGCAGCAGATCCTCAACCATTTCTTCAACAACCTCGACCTGGGCCAGGCCCAGTCCTCCCTATTCGCCTCCCCCTCCGCTACCTTCTTCACCAATGTCGGCAAGTTTGGCTTTGTCACCTACAAGCTCTCCCAAACCCTTGCCTCCCTCAGCCTCTCCCGCTCCTCCTTCCTTCCCCCGTCGACGCCCTCCACAGCAACATCAGCGCCCTCTTCCCTGGTGACCTCCTCGTCCTCATCTCCAACTCTGGTTCCTCCAACGAGCTCCTCACTCTCATGTGTTAGATATAGGTGTCCTGCAGGTAATAATTGTATATTGTAACAAGACCTATATGAATATAACATCCTTGTTCAAAATGATAGTATGTTATTTTGGTCAGTATTTATATGGTATTTTTTAAATACAGATATAGTCCTTAGAATGATACTAGACATTTCGGATATAATCGTAATGAAGAGATCTGATTTGTCGTTAACGTATATTCTTAAATGTTCCTAGTCGATGAAGTGTTAAAATGGGACATCATCACTTTGGGAAGACTAGTGTATACTCTATTTCTCCTTTGGTAGGATGATGATCCATCTCTTGGATCATTGATGTGAGACATCATGATATAGTATACAGGTGACTCATTAGTGAATGAGTTGACTGAATGACTCACTGAGAATATCTAGTTGGTAATTATACTTAACTGTCAAATAGAAGTTCTCAAGTGATATAGTACATAAGTAGTCTCTTGACCTGAGGCATGAGTGTAATATCTTATATGTCAGTATATGTGTACTTAGACTTTTACCTAACCACAGTTCTCAATGAGTTGTGCATAACGGTTCTTGTTGGGTGCATCCCGAGACATAAGTAGATATTGAGATGCCAAGATGGGATTCGTCTCTCCCAGTATAGGGGGTTGATGTCATAAGATTGTTTGATATAACTATAGCCAGGAAATCCTTGGCTGAGATAAATAAGATAAACTGAGTGTCAGTTTAATCTTATTGGTTATGAGTTTAATATCAACAAACACTAATCGAGCTATTAGGGTTTGACAGTTTTCCATACCCTAGGCTTGATAGTTTGACATGGTTTGACGAAGAGACCGGATTGTACAATATTATCACTGAGTGGTCCTGATAAAATTGTGTTAGCATCTTGCAGATATTTATCACAACTTATACCCGGGTAGTCTTCATGTGTAGCTAGCACCTCTGTTGTACTTGTGGATATTATCCACTACCGAGTTCTTAAGTTGGGCCCTAGAGTCACCAAGCGCGTACTTGAATCTTATGAAACACAATTTATAGAGTGATGCATATGATTGATACGCATATATGATTTTACCGGATACACATAAACGGTTATGCATATCGGCAAAATCAGAATGCTATGTGCTTAGAAAATGAATTCTAGTATTTTTTCTATAAAATTAACTTTTAGTCAACTAGTTAACTTTTTGGTCAACAGTTGACTTTTGGTCAACGATTGACTTTTGGTCAACTTATTGATTTTTTGGTCATATGATGACTTATTAATCAATGATTGGAAAATTACGAAAATGCCGTATTTATAAAATACTGTATTGATGTGGTATTTTTATTTATGAAATACACACTTTATTATACCTTGATTAATGAGTCATGAGATGAGTCATTAAGGTGGTATGGTTTGGGAACATGGTTTTAGCACATAGTTTTGATTCTTCATGACTCTTTGCATGACTCATGAGATGAGTCATTGCATGACTCATGAAAGGAATCATTACATTTATATGACTCATGGCATGACTCATGAGATGAGTCATGACATATTTCACTCTATATATATGAGCTCTCTTTCTTATGGAAAGGTTAATGAAAAATTGGCTAAGTGGTTTTTTCCATAAGAGAATAAAAGAGAGCTCTCCTCTTACTAAACTCTAGCAATCTTTGAGCAAGAGGAAGTAGTAGGATTTTAAAGTACCCCGGGGTGGATATCTTGCCTTGTGTCTCAAGAAGACTCCGATTTTATCAAGCTCACTTGAAGACTTGGAGATCCACTACGAGGAAATTTACTACTATAATGAGCAAGAGCTAGGGGTTATTCGATCTTCCATCGAATCACGCTTCGAAAATATGACTTTCTAACTCTTGTGTGCTCTCTTTAATATAGGGATCATGTTAGCTTTAATTAAGATGGTCCTATTTTGTATTTCATGCTCTCTACATGCTTAGTATAATTATACATATAGTCTTCCATTGCGTAATTTGCATGTAATTAGCATGAATTTCCTTCATCATGCCCTGCGCCCGCGCCAAGGGGGCCACGCTAATCTCCGTCACCTCCTAGGCCGGGAACCCGTGGAGTTGGCCTGTAACTTCACGGAATTTGAAATCCCGTAAAGTTTAAGCTTCACGAGATTTCAAATCTCGTGAAGATTTGGCCTCATTAACGACCTTGTTAATAAATGGCTTAAACTTCATGAGATTTTAAATCCTATGAAGTTTTTGAACATTTTTCATCAATTTCGACCCAGTTTTAACCAAGTGGCTGAAACTGGGTCTAAATTGACAAATATTTTCAAAAGAGGTCGCTTTTTGAAAATATGTTTCTAAAGAGATCTAAAACAAAAATTTGTCCTAAAATTAACACAAACTGGCCACACGCATCTCTATTTTGAGTATAAATTAAATTTTGCATTGATAGTTTGAGATAGTTAACATCTAATTACATACATAACATAATTGGAGATACTTAACATCCCATTGTTGATCCATGTTTAGAATATAAACCTTTTTATTTCCTTGATTTTAAAAAAGGAGGGATTTATGCTTTCGGTTTCCTAAAACTACCATTCATAAAAATTAGCTTCTAATAGAAAAAAACAATTACAATTACCTTCATTGAGACCAACTAGACTAAAAGGAAGAAATAAACTTAAAAAAAGGTAAGAACGGTTACCGGTATCAAGTTTAGATCAATAAATCGGCGTCTTTCTGATGACTGAAACCCCCGATTTTGATCCCCATTGTTAGATGCCATGGATATCTTAGTTCAGACTAGCAGGGATACCGATAGAATTTATCGCAATTTGAGGATAATCAAAATGAGAGAGATTAGGGAGGATTTCTTCGGGCTAAAAAAAAAAAAAACCCAGGGACGGCTTACTTGTATATCACTCACAGAACGTTTCTAGTTATAGAAAGTCCAAAATAGGAATTGGGGACACGGACGATGTACCTGATATTAATTATTAATTTATTTTAATGATTTGTCGGAAAACGCAAAAAAAATATTTTTGACTAATAAACGATAAGTTTAGGGTTCGACGGGTTCATTTCAAAAACTTTTTTTTGCTTTTTTACATTTCAAAAGAAGATGGTATGGCTTACCAAACCAAATACTTATTAGTTAGCCACTTGTGTAATGTGTGAGATTGTTAACAGATGAGTTATAACTGGGTAAATTCTTCTCTTTAATCTCTTTTCCGTAAACTTTCATCAAGCAAATTCTAATCTTGATTTAAGAACTACTCTCTAATTAGTTATGATTTTTAACTGGTTTTCCTGTTGATGTTATTACTCTCTGTTTTGCTTTGAAAACCGTTATATCCAATGGTCATACTTTTATAGAACCTATCCAGAGAGCGTTTTGCAAAACAACAGATGAGATTCAGGTCTAAGTTAAATACGTGACGATTTGAGAGACTAATGTAAAATTAACAAAGATTTGGGTTTAATTTCCCTTAAATCGAAATAAAATGGACCTTTTAAAAGCTAAATATTAAATACCTTACAATATTACTCACTTTTCACTTATATACCCTCACTTGTTTCTCATAGCATTTATATATATTGACACGTCAGTAGTTTTTATGATGCAGATCTGAAATTTTTTATGCCAATATCACTCTACGAGACTTATATGCACTTAGGGGGTGTTTGGCAATCTGAAAGTGAATTTAAAATATGTAAGTTATTTTTTTTTTTTTGCAAATGACTTTTACATCCATGTCAATACGCAAGTGAAATACAGTGTTTGTTTGAAAAATTAAATTATTATCGAAAGTGCAATGTGAAGATGACGTGGCAAAATAAGATTAATTAGAGAGTATAATTAAAATTATTTAATTAAATTAGTTATCTTTTTGTCACTTTCATGTGACTTCACCACCTTTTTAGGGGAAGTCAAAATTACATTAAATCTTATGTGGTAACTTTTTTGCATCTCACTTTCATAACCATTTACATGAAAATAAACATCTTAATTGTTAAATAAGAATAACTTTCTCACTTTCATCATATTTCACTTGCATGCAAACGAACACCCCTAACTGTAGCGAGGTTTAGAGACGTTTACCCGCGGCCCGAGCGTGCATAAGCCATAATAAGCCCAGTCCGAAGTCTAACCCAATCTCTGTGGCCGGCAACAGTTCAGAAGTAGTTGGTTGTTGGGTTCGCTTCTTTAATCAGATCCATCTCCACCGTCCACGAAACCTCCAGAAGCGTGCTCCGTTTATTTAATCATCATTCGCCTTGCTCTCTCCGTCCTTTGAGCTTCAGGGATCTCGGCAAAAATCGAAATCTTTTTGGGGGTTTTTGAGTTAATTCGCTGGGGATTCTGTTTGCGATCGCGCGGATTCTGAACGATGGACGACGACGCTCGAGATCAGTCAAATGGTGAGCACCGATCGAATGCCTAGGTATGTTTAGGTTTCGTATGTTCCAGTGTATCGTTGACTTTAGTCTTGACTTTTTGACTGGTGTTTTAGTGGTCAGCGCAGTGGTTTTCTGGTAGTCGGATGATCTGTGCAGTTTAGGAGCGCATTTTCAAAATTATGCGTAAAATTGTGTTCTTTGTTTAGTGCGTCCGTTGAAACGATTCCGACTTTTGTAAGCCATGAACATTTACGTGTAATTATGAGCTAAAATTAAGACATTTTTCATTAGTGATTCAACTGTACATTCTATGCAATTATATTTATGTTATGCATGACTTTTATCTGTATCCAACACTCAAATTTTGTTTCCGATAATCCCAAGCATTTATGCGTTTTGATTTATAAGAACTAGTTCTTGTATTTGCTGAGCACTAGTTCTCTATTGCTTCTTGTAGGTGTTGATGTTAAGGATGATATTGTTACCGAAAGCAGTGCTTTTGTACGCGAGGAACCCTCTCAAGATGACAATGGACCACTTAAGATTGACGGGGAGATGGAGATACTCCATGAGAAGGTCAAAAAGCAAATTATTAAGGAAGGTCAAGGTCAGAAGCCGGCAATGTCATCGACATGCTTTTGTAAGTGTCTTGATCACTTATATTGCTCGTGAAAGTAACTTGATGATGTTGCAAGTTCTTTTTTTTTTTTGAGACGTGTTAGGCAATAGTGGTGTTTTAAAAAGCCTCCGCCTAGACCACCTAGGCGTTCGCCTTGGCATAGGTGGTTCCTAGGTCGCCAGCCTAGCGCCTGGTCCTAGGTATCTAGTCGGTACCTAGGCCGTCCATCTAGATTTTTGGAGCGTCTAGGGGAGTGTGGACCGCTTACGTGGACTGAACCCCCGTAAGCCTTGATTGTGATATCCTCCATTGTAGCCTCAATGTCCTCCAACCTCCTCCGACCTCCTCCAGCCTCCAACTATCAACGCCTCCTCTTCCTCATCTAACCTTTAGCAAAACATCCTCCACCTCCCACTTAAACAAAGAAAGAAATCTGCCTACGCTTTCTATACATTGATCTTTATTATTAATTGTTGTGATTAAAAAATAAAAAATAGGAAGACTCCTAGGCCCCATCTTGGCACTTCCTAGCTGCCTAGGCCAGGTAGCGCTTTTTGTAACCTTGGGCAATAGCACGGGTGACACATTTTACAATTATCTTTTCCTTTTCATTTAATAACTTAGGCTAACTAGGTTAATAATGAGAACGTGTTAATGTTTTCACTTAAAACAATTAATATCTAATGTTAAACAGTTCAAACATGATGGTCAATCACAAAGCTTTTTGTATATTCGTCTGTCCATTTGTTTGTCCTCTGAAGAGTGAGGTTCTGAGTCTACTTCTGAGTCAATTTCTTAGAGATGACCTCATGATTTCTGGAAGAGAGGAGAAGAATGGATGCTTAATAGTGAGGTATTTCTGTGTGGAAAATTCATGTAAGGACATACTATACACTGATACCTTAAGTGCTGTTTGGTGAAGGGTTAACTGGGAGAATAAGTGTCGGTTGCTTCTTGGCAAACTCAAATTTGAGGCCAAAGAAAAACTTCAGTTGTTTATCTTTGTTAGGCCACCATGAATCACTTTAGCTTATTGTTTTTGCGAATCCATTGGGAAATTTAATGGAAATGTAGACAAAGAAAAAGGAAGATGTCGACAGTTTGCAGCCATGGCTTTGAGCAGGTATCTAATATGAAATAATGTGTTGTCTCTAGTATGAAATCACGTGTTGTCTGGTGATGGAATAAGGCAGATAGGTGGCTTGATGTTTTATGGTTCAACTTCTGGTTCGCATTGATCAAAGTTGGTACTACCAGTGTTAAAAATTCATATACAGCAACGGCTTGCTATTTCTCAAAGCTGGTGAACTCTTGGTTATGCATTTGGCTGAAGATGTTTGCTTTTCTACTAGTACAGATTTGAACAGAATTCATGTCAATTTATATTAGTTTAATGGATGTCAAAGGCATTCTTTTTGTGAACCATGCGGTTTGATTTGGTTTGTTAAAACCAGGTGGTTTGAAGAGTTCCAAGCAATTTTTGGTATAATTGGGTTTTTACTTATCTAGACCAGTTTATGGCCTGTTCTGGTCTTACCTGATCAGATCAGCTGATCTGATCTGATTCTTATTGACAGTCTTCATGGGTCAAAGAAAGGCAAAAGACTTCTCTGTGCGGTCTTCTATCGCTAACAAATTTGTTTATGGACTATCGTCCTTGTTCATATTTAATGATGCAATGTGAATGCTGCGAAACAAGCTTGGAATTTTTTTTTCCCAAAGGAAATTGATTTTTAAAGTTAAGCTTTGCTTACAAAGATACTATCGAACATTGTCCCCATTGTAAAGCATATCCCACTTCCAAACTGAGCATAAGCAATTTTTTCAGAGTAGAATCCTTGAATTCCAGCAACTCAGCGTCCTCTTATTGTTTTATTTCATAGTGTATAAACTCGTGACTCGTCAACATGATAAACTATTTGCTTATTTTATGATGAAAGATCTTAATACTACTAACTGTATCACTTGTATAATAATGTGCTAAATCTAAGTTTAAGATATCTGTTGTGCAGTGCATTATCGGGCATGGACTCAGAAAACTTCACACAAATTTGAAGATACTTGGCAAGAACAACGGCCATTTGAACTGGTATTGGGCAAAGGTGTGTATAATTTATGACATCTAGAAGGGAAATACCGAGAGATTGCGAAGCGTGGAAATGATATCATGAATAATATTGAAAACATATACTGTGAATATAAAATTGTACTATCAAAAAGTTTGCTAAGCAGATGTTTATTCTGGTTCTGATGGATGAAAACAATGTGTAATAGACTAACTCTAATTTCAACAGAAAAGAAAGAAATGGCGGGTCTGGGCATTGGTGTTGCCAGCATGAAGAGTGGGGAGCGTGCATTATTCCATGTGGGTTGGGAGCTAGGTTATGGTGAAGAAGGGAGCTTTTCCTTCCCAAATGTCCCCCCTATGGCTGATCTCATATACGAAGTTGAGCTCATTGGTTTTGATGATATCAAAGATGTAGGTTGCCCCAGTTTAGTAAATTCACATTTGTTGTTACTTTCTTAATGCTTCACCTCAAATTAAACAGTGTGATTTGTGCTTCATTCAAATATCAGAGAGTAAAGTTCTTCCTGAGATTTCATTGCTCTTTTTTTTCCCCTGATAATTGGTCATGTGTCCACTTTATATAGGGAAAGGCTAGAAGCGATATGACAGTGGAGGAAAGGATAGAAGCAGCTGATAGAAGGAAGGTTGAAGGAAATAATTATTTCAAGGAAGAAAAGCTAGAGGATGCTATGCAACAGTATGAAATGGTTATTGATCTCAAAGCCCTTGTTTCATTTTGTTGTGTTATGCTGTTTATTCTTGATCTCATTTAGTCTTTTCTTTCTGTCAGGCGATAGCATATATGGGAGACGACTTTATGTTCCAGTTGTTTGGAAAATACAGGGATATGGCTTTGGCTGTGAAAAACCCTTGCCATCTAAACATTGCTGCATGCTTAATTAAGCTAAAACGATATGAAGAAGCCATCGGTCAATGTACTGTGGTATGTGCATAGATAAGTCAGCACCTCTTTGTATATGATGATTTACTTCTGCTTGGTCTTTGTTATACATGGTTGTTCATGTATGTTTACGTCAGGTTCAGATGCATGTTGAAAACTATCTTATTTGTCTAATTCATAACGTAGCCTTTTTGAAAGAAAATAAACATATTGCCTCATTTTCTGAGTTTTCTCCTTAGCTTTCATTGGAAAAAATATGCCTTTCTTTTGTTTATTTAGGAGCCTGTTGAACTTCTTCCAATATTCAAATCCTAGAGATGAAAAAAATGACATTTGCATGTAATTTATATTCATTCTGAATTTTTTTTGGACGTTGATTTTCTTGTACTAGTTTAAGCTTCCTCTTGTTAACATGGAGCGCTTGTATTGAATAATCGGCATCTAAAATGTTAAGAAGCCTTATACTGCTCCACTTTTTTATCTGGTAATATGCTATCAGTTTTGTTCCTGAGTCAATCTTGTCAACAAGGTTTGAAGTATTGATCGACACCAATACGTATCAGCCGTGTTGTATTGGAATATAAACATCTCATTTTTATCCTGCTAATATGGGCTAATAACAACTAATACAGGTTAATACTAGCTAACAGTGACCAACTCAGGAAGTCATACAAAGTTCGTAAATACCAAATAATATTTGATAGCTTTATTTTAGTGGAACAATATGAAAAATAAGTCAGTGTAGAAATCTTGTGAATCATCTAAACCGCTGAAGTCTAGAAACATACACTAGGAACTTCCAATATGAAATTTCTGTAATTGCCGAAACTTCTGGAAAAACATGCGACAAAACCATCAGCTGATAGCAATATTAAGATTTCAAACCTAGCATCTTTGTTTTTATGCTTTAGAGGCTTTATCACCAGCACCAATATTGTTTTTCAAAACCTGTGTGCCATGAGAATGGGTCAACTATGGAGAAGAACTCGAGTTGATAAAGCTTCAGTGAAGAATTGACAGTGTTTACGAAAGACACAATTATTAGTCAATGCAATGTCAGGAAGAAAGGGATCTGTCACATGACTGCCTATCTGACAAGTGGATAGATCAAACTTCTTGATTCCACGATTCAGGATTATTTTGCAGTTTTGTCTGTTTTAGAGAAAAAAGAGGAAATTTTAAGTTATGCTCCAGGGAATCATACTCATCTTTTAAAACACAGTATTATCTAAGGAGAAAAACTGAATTTGACTTCTAGAAGAGCATTGGAACTTATCAGACTTTTCTGGTTAGGATCATCTAGTTGGAGTATTCGTGAGCAAGATATTGTACCAACTAAGCTAAAAGGAAATTTCGATGTTTTTAGTTGCCAGAGCC